TAGTCCATAAGGGCTTCCCTAAGCTGCTGCTGGAGTTTGTTTCACAAGAGGGAGGTTTCTTCCTAAGCCCTACCTTTCCATCTCTCCTTATTTGCCTTCCCATCTTTCCATATTGGACCCTGTACAGCCACCAAGTCCAGTCCTACCAACCATCTATGCTTTTTACAAATTTCCTTCCTTCCTTCAGGCAAACGGTTTTACTAGAACTGCATCCTCCACATGAAATCAAATAGAATTTGCTTCTGCTTTTGCTTGCAGTCCTTAACACGTTGTCAGCACTCCCACTGAAGCAATCGTGTTGAAAATAAGAGTTGCTTCTTCCAGTTCTGGCATTTGCACATTTTTATGAGATGCTGGAAAAGCGCAATTGGATATTTTTTCCCGGCAAAATAATAAGTAACAGATTCGTTGAGTTCTGACTTGCCTCAGAACCAGGTGTTTCTGACATGTACCATATCTCTCAAATATATTACATGCTCCAGCACTCTTCTTATCAAGAGCTTAAGCTTTTAACGTTCTCCCCATCAACATGCAACAAGACTTTTGGACTTTCCTGACTACTAGTTTAGTTTTATGCATAGTGGTCCCTTTTCAGTGACACGCAGAGAGAGCATGAGGGTACATGAACTTTGTGGGCAATCTATCTGCTAGATACAGTGATGTATGTGCAAAGAAAAGTGTCAAGGTACTATGAATATTGAAAATAAATGTTGGGCACATAGAGAAAATGTAGACCAAGTACTTTTTTTTTCACACAACCAAGAAAGCCATCTAAACAACAAATACCAGTCTGAAATTCACACCCAGTGACCTCTAATGAGCTAGGCTTAGAGTGAATGTATTTGCAACTCAACTTTTGGAGTCAACGAACGATGCAGGTGCAGGTACGATGCTCTTCTACACCCCAGTTCATTTTCAGGCTAGTTTCTGACTATGGGGACCTCTGCAGTACCATCTTCTGTAAGTCTTGGTTTACAGCGTGGTTGTGCCATGAGTGCCACCAAGGATTTCTACCATAAAGCTCTCCTTTACACTTCCAAGAAAGCAAAACAGCGTGCTAGGCTTGAGTTTGGAGGAAGATTTTACATCTGGGTTAATTTTCTTTTAGTATTATTGCCTTAGAACTGGCTCTAATCATGAGCTTCATGATTAGATTCCTAGAAACTTCATCGTTTCTAGGAAGTTTCAAAAGGGAAGGGGCAGTTTAAAATTATTTGAACAAACCTGAACTGCAAAGCAAGCTCAAAACCATTCTACACGTTTGGAAGATCCTCCTAATTCAAGACCTGTTCCCTACATGTTTGGAAGATCCTCCTAATTCAAGACCTGTTCCCTATTTGACATGGGACATGGCTCATCGGAACCCTCTTGAGCCACAGATGACATGTATCATATCTGATGGAACAAAGATATAGGAATACCCTTGGCTGCTCGTGGAGCGCATTTTATCCTGATGTTTTGTCCTTATCAACAGCTATAATTTTATCCTGATGTTTTGTCATTATCAACAGCTATAAAACAAGCTTATACAAAACAGTTTAGGTCCAGTTGAATCCAAATTAGCATCTTATGACAAACGCACAAGACAATCCTTTGGAATGTCTCTGAGTAGAATGTTGTAAAAAGTGAATGAGGAATGAAAATTGAGATTCATTACGTTTGAAATGGACTTTTGACCAGGAAGATCAATGACTGCATTTTTCTCTGCAGATTTACAGGCCAAATGAGTCCCTGGTTTAACCTTTGAACTCAGAGGGTTTCATAAAGAGAGGAATTTGTCTATAAGGGTCATGCATACGCACGCTTTCCAGGCGTGACAAGATTGAAGTTGTAGTCATTTAAACCCAGAGGAGGAAAACCCACGTGAGGTTAGATAAGGAAATAGAATTAAGAGTACTGCTCCCCGACCATGGGACAACCACTTATATGCTAAACAACAGTACACAGGAAAGGATGAAGTCCAGAGAGAAAAAAAAAAACAAGATACCCCTCAAGAATTAGCTTGATTGAAACATGTGGTAGCTGTCTGCTCTCAGAGTCATTGATGGCCACAGGAACATACGTTCTGCATTGCCCTCAACCATAGACCTGGTCCCAGGACCATTGACTGGTTCATAAATGCACTTTTCTTGTGCAAAAAGACTAGGATTACCTTATCTTCACCAGAAGCTATTTTTTCAGCGTAAGCACTTGCTGTAGCTGCTACAAAAAGATGGGATGAGGCACGTCAGCCCAAACAGCTGCAGAAGAATCATGCAGAAAACACAGATTATAAACAAACTGGAACCCAATTCCAAATTTGATAGAATTTCTCCAGCGCTCAGATATACACACATCACGCATATCCAAAGGGTAAATGTTTCCAACTCCAAGAGCTGTAAATGATTTAAAAGTGAAAAGCTAGTACAAATACCAAATGTAACACTAATAAATATTGAAAGCTGGCACTGATAACAGCATTCACTGGGCAATGGACTCCAAACTGATTCTTCACCCACAGTGCATATTGCCTTTCCTTCCTCCCAGCTGGCACGAGTAAAGCAGGAACAGCCTCAATATCAGATTTTGAGAAATTTGTTGCTGTAAGCCAGCAACCCTAACCCAAATGTAGCGGCATTTAAAACCAAATTGCATTTAACATAAAATTGAGCTATTTTCTGGCTGTGTGTAAAAAAATGAAATACGATCTATCATTAAATAAACGAGACGATGCAGGTTTCTGAGGCCAAAACCCCATTCTTACTAGAATTTAAAAAAAAAATTACACTAAAAATGTGTCGTGGTTTTGGCTGGGATAGAGTTGGCTGGCTTACTGGCAGATGGTATAGTGCTATGTTTTGTTACACTAAAAATGTGTTGTGGTTTTGGCTGGGATAGAGTTGACTGGTTTACTGGCAGATGGTATAGTGCTATGTTTTGGTGTCAGGATGCAAAAAGTATTGGTAAAACACTGATGGTTTTGGTCGTTGCTAAGCAGTCTTCTGCTCCTCACACCACCCCACCAGCGAGTAGGCTGGGAGTGCACAAAAAGCTGGGACACAATCACAGAGTCTTCATGGTTGGAAAGGATGGAAGGGACCTTTGAGATCATTGAGTCCAACAATACACACACACAAAAAAAAAACCCCAAACTGTAAACGCAACAATCTCAGGCACCAGACCATGTCCTGAAGTGCCACCTCTACACGTTTCTTAAATCCCTCCAGGGATGGTGACTCCACCACCTTCCTGGGCAGGCCCTTCCAGTGCCTGACCACCCTCTCAGGAAAGTCATTCTTCCCAATATCTCATCTAAACCTCCCCTGCCCCAACTTCAACCATTTCCTCTGCTCCTGTCATGATTCCCTTGGGAGAAGAGGCCAACCCCCACCTCTCTCCACCCTCCTTTCAGGGAGCTGTAGAGGGCAATGAGGTCTCCCCTCAGCCTCCTCTTCTCCAAACTCAACATGCCCAGAACATGCTGGGACAGCTGATCCCAACTGACCAAAGGGATATTCCATACCATACGACGTCATGCACAGGATATAAAGCTGGGGGAAGGAGGATGAAGAGGAGGGACATTCAGAGTCATGGCATTTGTCTTCCCAAGTAACCATTAGGTGTGATGGAGCCCTGCTTTCCTGGAAAGGACTGACACCTGCCTGCCGATAGGAAGCAGAGAATCATAGAATGGTTAGAGTTGGAGGAATAGGAAGCAGGGAATCATAGAATGGTTAGAGTTGGAGGAGACCTTAAAGATCATGGAGTTCCAACCCCCCTGCCCTGGGCAGGGACACCTCCCACCAGACCAGGTTGCTCCAAGCCCCATCCAGCCTGGCCTTGAACCCCTCCAGGGATGGGGCAGCCACAGCTTCTCTGGGCAACCTGTTCCAATGAATTCCTTGTTTTCCTTGGCTTGCGTGCATGGCTTTTGCAGTACTTATTAAACTGTCTTTATCTCAACTCACAATTTTTTTTGTCACTTCTATTTTTCCAATTCTCTCCTCCATCCCAACTCAGGGAGAGGAGGAGGGACACGTGAGCAAGAGGCTGCATGGGTCTAACTGCTGGCTGGGGTTAAACCACGGAACGGTGACATCCCTTTGTTCCTGAAAACTTGTTTCTAGGATCACAGTGACCAAAGTCTTGCCTCTGTTTGCATATAGAACTAGTAATTGTTGAACGTGCGAGTCAGAGCTTACAATCAGACAAATGGTTTTTTTATCCTTTTGTATTACATTAATAGTAACTGGGGATCCAAACGGCACACGTGGTACTGTAGAAACAGAACTGATGCTCTGTTCCAAGGTTCTCAGCTTAAAATTGAGCCTACTGCTTAACAGTAGGCTAGGAAAATCCCTTAAGGTGCCAGTTGTTTTAAAAAGAAAAAAATTAAAGCAATTTTTATGAATCACGTTGACCTTTCTGAGCTATTTTCTTATCAAGGGAAATTTCCTTCCGAGGGAAGGTTACCATTCTATTTGAAAGTAGCACAAGTATTTTTCTGCAGCATCAGAGTTTTATTTGGAACAGAAAATCTTCCTGATACTACCAAACAAAGAGAAAAGTCTTACTGATATAATCCAAAAAGCTACAAAAGTGAAAGAAGTGAAAGAGTCATATCATTATAAATGGCCCTTAGACTGGATTTTTGTCTTTTAATCTTTCTGAAAGGTCTGGAAGCACCCTATGTTATCTATGCCATCCATGATACCCTTACCACAAAGCCCTTAAATTTCCCCCTCCCCAGCTTCCATCACCAGCCAATTGTGCAACTACATCGGAAAATTTTGAGGGTGGAGATTCTCAAACAAAAATACAACCTGGAAACCAGAAACTGATTTAAATAATTTTCTTTTTTTTAAATGCTGGATGTTGAGAGTAGAGCTATAAAAATAAACACTTATAAGCTAAGTCTCTTGGCTCTGAAATGGTGTCTTAAGAAATTCCTGAAGAACTTTCAATTGTCAACCAGGTGAACAATTATGGATTGTAATTCCTTTTCTATCTTTTGTTTACAGGCACATCATAGGCAAGTTTCCTGACTATCCTACTAAAGAGGCAGGAGGCTCAATGGCTATGCTTTCTGAAAAAACTCCAGAGCAGGTACTGTCACTCCTCTAGTGAGAAAGGATAATGGGATCGGGGAAGGAATGGCCACAAAACATGTCAGTTTATTTAACTAGCAATTTTTCATAACAACAGCCTCTAGAACTCCAGGAGCCCTGTAGTTAAAGAGCTTTTTGCTACAAATGAAGGGATTGTTTTCTTCCAAGGTAAATCACAAAACTCACATATCAAATTGGTTCCCTTTCGGGATGTGCATCCACTTAGTCATGGCAGAAGGTGCTCAGGCACACACCTCACAGATAGATAAATGTCTGAGGGAGCCAAGAAGAAAGGGCTCAGCTACAAAGAGTTGCTCTCCTGTTGCAAAATCCATGTAGTTAGACTGGTGCTAGCTACTAGTAGAAACAGATATTCCAACAGTTTAAAGAAACCTTGGTTTAAAACAGGTATCCAAAGCTACCCCAGAGGCTGAAGTTGGCTCCAGTGTGTTTGTACTCAGTATCAGCAGTCTAGAAATAATTAGCTTAGACACTCTTCTCTGCTTCAACTTACACAGAAAGGCCTAAGCCTTGATTTACTGCTAAGCATCCATTAAGCAAGCTTGAAGAAGGGGCACATTCAAGCTTCCAGTGTGTTTGTACTCAGTATCAGCACAGTCTAGAAATAATTAGCTTAGTTGAAACAGAGAAGAGTGTCTTACACAGGCAGGCCTAAGCCTTGATTTACTGCCAAGCAAGCTTGAAGAAGGGGCACATTCAAGCGAAGGAAGCATCTTAGTTTATCTTACGTGTTCTTGTAACAAACTCAGATGTTTTCCTGGTAAATTCTCTTTTGTGACCTCTCTTGCTAATAGAAACGGCTGATAATCTCTTCCCCTGATCACCCCCTCTCCAACTCCCTGAGAGGAGGGTGTAGAGAGGGGGGGGTTGGCCTCTTCTCCCAAGGGAATCATGACAGGAGCAGAGGAAATGGTCTGAAGTTGGGGCAGGGGAGGTTTAGATGAGATCTTGGGAAGAATGACTTTCCTGAGAGGGTGGTCAGGCACTGGAACAGCCTGCCCAGGGAGGTGGTGGGGTCACCATCCCTGGAGGGATTTAAGAAAGGGATTGATATGGCACTTCAGGGCATGCTCTAGTGCCTGAGATTGTTGGGTTGGGTGTTTTGTTTTGTGTTTGGTTGTTGGTTTTGTTCAGTGGGGTTTTTTTTGTTTGGGTTTTTCTGTGTGTGTGTGTATGGTTGGACTAGTTGTTTTTGTTCGGTAGTTTGTTTTTTGTTTGTTTTTTTCTGTGTGTGTATGGTTGGACTAGATGATCTCAAAGATCATCTCAGAAGTCCCTTCCAACCGTGAAGATTCTGTGATCTGGGTGTCACACACAGAAAGTGATTAAAGCCAGCTGAAGCTGTGAAGGCAGTGGTTGGCACTTGGAGCCAGTTCCACTCCCCACAATGATCCTAGCAGGACAATGAATCCATGGAGGGAGGTTATAAACACACAGGACTGGGATTTGTCCCCCAAGTGAACCAGGCATGGTGGCTACTGGTGGGGCTAGGGAAACTAAGCTGTCAAAGACTGACCTCTGTAGTCCTTAAAGCTTGCCTGTTGAGATGGACTGTTGTGTTCCTTAGCTGCCTGCAAGAGATGATCCACCACAGGTATGGTAAAGCAGTTATTTTGGATTCTTCCTTCCTGGAATGGTGGGGAAAAGCTTGGGGCGTGCTGGCAGTGTACGTGGTTTGAGGGGGATATAAATACAAACTAGCCCAGCATAAAGCACAATACCCTAACTATTAGTCTCATTGCTTACAAAAAACACCCCAGAAAAATGCTACAAACAGCTCTCTGTGCCTCACTAAAAAACAGATCTCCTGGTTTTAGCCAAGTTCAGAGCATGCTAAGGTCAACCCCACCGGCCCCTGTGTCTAAGCCACGCTGTTGTTCAGCCCCAGACAGAGTGAAGGAGAGACCCATTGGTTAAGTTTTCAGCTACTAAAGTAGAAACACATGCCAGAGTCAAGAAAGCTTTGTTGGCTGCTCTGAGCAGCAGGGGAGCCACCCAGCGAGTATGGCTTATTGCAGGAGAAGGCTTCAGGGGACTTTGGGCTAATTAGATCTGCTACCAACGAGGATAAACACAACTCAGAAAGGAAAACATTACGAGAAATTATACAGAGCAAAACTGGATATGGTAGTAGATTCTGGAGGAACATATTCTTCCTGTCCTCCTCCTGTCTTTGAATTCCTACCTTCAGCTATTTTGCTGTCTTTCCTGGGCATCTGCTTTCTCTTTGCATTAAAAAAAAAAAATTAAAAAAAATAATAAAGGAAGCTAAAAGTATAGTAACTGAAAGAAGAAAAAAAATGCAACTATCTTCCCAGCAAATTTTCACTAGCAATTATCTGATTTTCCAAGATCTTCAGGCCCATTTTAGCCAGCACAACCAAGAGCAGGATATATTTCACGTAACCTTAACAGATACTCAGAATGCAGTTGGCAAAAGAAAGTTAAAGTATGTTCATGATTTTACCTGAATGTCAGACAAGTAAAAGTATTTTTTGTTCTTCTGAGTCAGCCTGCATATTAAAAATCCCTAAGGCAACTGATTTTGTTCCACACTGGTCTACTGGGCAACATAGTAAATGAAATCCTGGCCCCATTGAAGTTAATGGGAGTTTTGTCCTTGACTTCAGGGGAGACAAGATTTCACCTCAGCTTCTGTGAATGGGTTGGTTACTCCCAAGTTAAACTCCATGAAAAATCAAGACCGAACTGTATTTAAAAAGTGAGCATTTTATAAGACTTAGGTAAAGACACTTTGGGGAAAATAAAATACAAATTAATCACTTCACGAACCATTGCTGCATTATTATATATTCTATATTTCTTTATCCTTTGACAACTCTGACCTTACTTGACTTTGTAATGTAGCTGGCCTCCTGCACAAACTGCTTCCATGACTTTTTACAAATACCTCTCAGAAAGGTGTGCCAGAAAAATCCCAAAGCAAAGTACTTGGTGGTATGTCAGAAAAATACGTACTATCCCTTTACTGGAAAGAAGCTTTTCTCTACTTTACATACCCTTCAAGAGAAATTTGAGATTTGGAGACGTCAGTGTAATTTCCCTGCATCTGTTCCAGATGTCTATCCCTAAAGGTTTTTTGGTTTGCTCTGAAGATAATCATCACATGTGACAATTTTTAGCTTTGCCCTTATACTGCTGCCAACAAAATTATGATCTCTTCCTGTAGCTCATTAAGACTCATCACCATGAAAATAAGCCAAGAAAGTTGCCATTTAGCAGACAGTTCCCCCTCTCTTCCAATTTTAAGTCACTTATTAGATAAAAAAAGATGCTCACTTACCAACGTTTTGGTGGGACATTCAATTGCTGGGTGGAGGACAAAGTCATTTCCACATTACTGTAATCTCAGAATCTGATCCAGCAGCAGAGAAGGGGCTGAGAAAAAGTTATGTGTTAGCTGCTGTGCATACATATGCTCCTCATCTTTGCTTGGCACTCTGTACAATGCTACGCTGCTAATTAGTATTCATAATTACCAGCAGCTAAAGATCCCCGTGAATCCCAGCAATCCGTTTCATTGTAAATGGCAGTGCAAGAGAACCCCAATAGTTAGTTAATATTTAATTAATATCCCTATTTCCCAGGTAGGGACAGTGCTAATTATGCGATCAAGTACTTCAATATTCACACACACACCCAAATATCTTACTTTTACCAAATAGATGTATCACAAATAGCTTTGAAGTGTCAGAGAAGGAGTCAAGAAGCTTCAGAGTTGTACTTTTTTGTACCCAGCATTTTGTAAACGTACTTTTATCCTGACAGCAAATACACAATGCGTACTTTTCACTAATAGAAGTAAACTAGAGAACTGTAGAGAGCCTACAGTTATGCTCACCTTTATTTCCTGTGTTCCACACTATTCTGGTTGCTTGTTTTAGAAATTATCAGGCTGGATTTTCACAACTGCTGAACACACAGGGCCGTCGGCTGGAGCTGGGCATCTCAAAGCCTTAGAATATTCTGGTGATTTCAAGTTAATCCATGCAGGAGGACAGAAATGGTACTCAGTCTCTGTTAAGACACACAATGGGCAGATGGATTCTACCTCCGGATGGTTCACTATAATGAAGCCATTCAGCTGGTAGACTCCTAGTCCAGAATCTCTCCACATGCCCATGGTCATGAACTCACAGAATCACAGAATTGTCATGGTTGGAGAGGGCCTCTGAGGTCACTGAGTCCAACCTTACACACAAAAAAGATCCCCACAATCTCAGGCACTAGAGCATGCCCTGAAGTGCCACCTCTACATGGTTCTCAAATCCCTCCAGGGATGGTGACTCCACCACCTCCCTGGGCAGGCCCTTCCAGTGCCTGACCACCCTCTCAGGAAAGTCATTCTTCCCAAGATCTCATCTAAACCTCCCCTGCCCCAACTTCAGACCATTTCCTCTGCTCCTGTCATGATTCCCTTGGGAGAAGAGGCCAACCCCCACCTCTCTCCACCCTCCTTTCAGGGAGCTGTAGAGGGCAATGAGGTCTCCTCCCCTCAGCCTCCTCTTCTCCAAACTCAACATGCCCAGTTCCCTCAGCCTCTCCTCGTAGGACTTGTTCTCCAGACCCCTCCCCAGCTTGCTGGCTCTCCTCTGGACACGCTCCAGCACCTCAATGTCCTTCTTGTGGTGAGGGGCCCAGAACTGAACACAGTACTTGAGGTGAAGCCTCACCAGTGCCCAAGACAGAGGCACCATCACTCTGTTGGCTGAAGTCTGTAGTCTTGGTTGTATGCCTAAAGCCAGGCAGTATCAACAACACCTTTGCACCTCTACCATCCACCTTACCTAAATAAAAATAAAAATAAACCCCACACCAAAAAACCCAACATTACGCTGAGCAAAACTAACAGATTTTTTATAAACACATTCAATGGAGGCTAACGTTTTGAAATGTTTGCTAGAAAACAAACAGAGGAGTGAGGGGGTTTAACTGGCAAGTTAAGCTACATTTGAG